CACGCCTGATGTCGTATCGGATGCCGTTGAGCTCGTCGAAGCAGGGCTGCACGGCGAGGGCGCCGGCGGGCGTCTCAGGCCAGCAATTGACGCCGTCCCAGGCGATGGCGCAGCGCAGCGGGGCGTCGGCGGCGGCGTCGGGGGCGTCGCCCTCCATCAGCGCCTCGCACGCCCGCTGGCGCTGCAGCGTGCGCGGGCTGGGCGTGGTGGTGGGCGCGTCCGCCGCCACCGCCTGCGCCGCCGCCGCCTCCGCCGCCGCCGCCTCCGCTGCCTCCGCCTCCCACGCGTCCTCCATGGGCGAGCGCGCTACTTCCTGCCAAAAAATCGTAATATTCCCATCAACAATGTGGAAATCTCTTCACTTCGTCCCACGTGTCTTCCATAAGCGAGCGCGCTACTTCCTGCCAAAAAAGCATAATATTCTCATTACCTCTTCTGCGCCGCCTCCACCGCGTCTTCCATGGGTAGGCGCGGTACCTGTTAAAGAAGTACAATATACAGATGATTAATTATTAGTGATAATAAGGGCCAAAATGCTAAGGTGGTTTGTCCCATATGTGTAGTGCATGTTTTCCTCAGTAGGTATCAGAGGTCTGCTTCCGCTGGATTGCGAGAGAGAGAGCGCCGACCTACCGTCGGCTAGCGGGGTTTTCCTCAACCAAACATTCCCATCAACCACCCGGAAATTTCTGCCCTTTGTCGCATTATTAAGAAACAACATAACTTGCGTGCACATTTACATACGAAAACGTATATTATACTTTGTTCGAAGCCGGAAGAGGTGGCTCAGGGTATCAATTAATGACACTATAGTGCCTCTGACCGCGAGGTTCTAGGTTTGAGTCTCGACGATAGCAGACGTTTCAACACCAGGTAGATATATCAATTCCATTCGCTGCCTGGAGGAGAATTCTACGGGCCGGCTGCTCTGATCGGTAGTTTTCCGAGGTTTCTCCGAACAATTCCAGGAGAATATTGTACCCTATCATATAGACTACAAACCGCGCGCTATCTTTCCTTCCATTTCCTTGTCATATTCGTACCCCTTACTTAAACACACACACACACACACAAATACACTTCATTCTCACACTTGCCGGGAAACCGACCGGGAGCTGCAGTAGGTGGGGTCCGGATCTCGGCATCCGGCGGGGGACGATCACCGCCACCTGGCGTGGAATGAACATGCACTACGCTTGCAGGAATAACGTGTTTAGCAGTAGACGCGCCCGGATTCATTCATGAAACGGCCATCTCCATTCCGCATCCACCTCCATTCCTGTAACTGGACACCAGTGCGCAAGCATCGATACTTTTCAGTACATTTAGTAACACAACGTCTTCAACATTACACACAGGCATTTCGTAGACGTGCTTCATTTTCAGCCCCCGAAAAAATGCAAGGAGATCTTGCAGGTTAATTAGCTGCCCCCACCCCCACGCTCTATTCAACATTTTGGATATTCATGAATTTGATATTAATGATCATGATAGTCACGAATTCTAAGGCCGTTATGAGCAACCGCACCATGATGTTGCAGCTACATTGTCGCTGGATTGGCGATGCATCGGATATCACTCTTCGTAGAATTGCTTAAATCGTGGTTCCGAGCGCGTCATCTGCTGTGGCCATGAGTCCTGTAAATATTGAGCATTTTTATCACGGTAGGTGTAGGTGTCGTCCACCCTGTTGGCGAGATCCGGTGCCGACCTACATGTCAGACTGTGGGGTGACCCCCAACTAAGTACCTCCCACTAGCGGAGAACCGCCGGGGATAATCTCGAAGCCCCCGATTGCTCTTTTGTCATATGTGGTGGTGTACATGTAAGTGAATGCGTTTGTAAGTAAGGTATGAAGATAGGACAAGGAAGAGGGACAGATCACGGGTGGTTGGAAGTTGTTTTGTTAGGGTTCCACTCCATCATTCGCCTGCTGTCGAAGGAAAAAACAGAAAACTACCTATCAGACCAGCCAGCAACTAGAATTCCTCCTCGAAACAGCTGCAGGATTTGACTTAGCTCTCTAGCTAGTGCCAGAAATTCTGCCATCGACTGTAATCGAACTCTAGGACGTACTAGCCAGAAGCACTACAGTCACATCAATTGATTGTCTAAATCACCTAAATCGGTCTGCGTACGCTGTTAGAGCAACGCGAGCTCTTTTTCTGTGCTCACTGGAGAGCAAGAGCGGTACATAAAACTCCTCAGTTGAGAGACATACAATAGTTGGTGGTATTCACAAATCTGCACTCAAATGTCAACCTGCTGAAGTGAACCGTTTCATTCATATCTATTTGTCGAGTAGATGCGTACACACTGATTTTATTTACATGAATGACTGACGTTAATGTCTTAATTAAATATATGAAAATTTAATACGGAACATGCTACAAAAGTTAAATGATGTATTTGTTTTTCGCAAGATATATTTGAATACTTTTTTTGGTAGATCCAATGATAAGTAATAAAATAAAAGTTAAAAAATAAAAAGGTTAATATAAGAGATTTAAGGTTTAAAACAATTCGTTATCAGTGGTCGCAAAATAAAGCTAGATATGGAAAACCAATTAGCGTAACGAGTTTAGTCCCTGAATGCCTTGGAGTGTGTTGAGTGCATGTATGAGAAGTGGAAATGACAAAGCATTCATATGACGACACTTCGTTTTGCAATGAAAACTTGCACATGAAACAAGGTTTTAACTTTCTATAATAATCTTGAAGTCGGATTTCAATTCCATTATTAAGGGAACAAAAAACTGAAAATAAGGTGCTGATATGTAGTAGCTGAGGAAAGGATGGGAAAACACCGAATATCTAGCAGAGACCAATGATATCAGCAAACTAGTGCGACAAAGTCTGTTCCATTTTCTAGCACCACTAGTTTAACATTTTGATCTACTTTTATTAAAACCAGAGAAATTTTGAAAACTGCAAAATGTTTAATTGTTTTCGGAGCTGCCACATACCTTCAATCCTAAAACCAAATATTTATTTTACAATAAAGTGAATACTTCTATTTCGGCATGTCAGAAGAGACATTTTTTCAAACTTTCCGTAAATACGCAAAATTCACCGGGGTTCGTGGAACCTATCGTGACATGAGTACTCTGTTGAATAGAACGTGAACTAAGCAAAAAGTACGTTAGTAGTATCCTAAACAATTCTTCTAATCATAAATAATGTTTCCTAAGATGAGAACAAATTTGGTATGCCGCGCACTCTCATTAGTTTTCGGGATCTCTTTTTTTCAGTTTTCAATAGAGTTTATTTCAGTTTTCTAGAATTCTCAAGCAATTATCGCTTTCCGATAAGAAATAAAAATACACGACTCATTCAATTCAAAACCGGATACTAAACGAAAAGTACTTCAGTGAACCATTCAATCTTTTATACGGTAGATTTGAATAAGTTACAGGAAAATGGGAATCTTAAAAAAATTATGTTTGTCGCAAGCTCTAAAGCGAAGATAGAAATTTTTTACTTCTATTTTATAGCAGTGTCTTTGCTCAAGAGTTCATCTACGCCTCACTAACTTTTACCGACCTTTAGTGAAGGCACTAAACTGTGAAACGAGACATCTGTATCAGTGACAGATGGAAGCTATTATTGCCGTTTTGAAATGTGATCTTAAGGGTAATAAATAATACGTACAGTTTAATAAAGTTTTACTCTATAGTTCGTTCCATCATTCTAATATCGATTTTCATCGAGAGCTGCCCCAAAATGTATGCAGTGTGGGGCTCGTAACGCATATTTACTTTCGAGAGTAGTCAGTTCTGTCAGAGATCTTTCAGAGGTGGTTGAGATTTTGGTCTCTTTGCAGCGACGGTGGCGTTTCAACACTTTCAAGTTACGACAGACATAAAATCCTTTTCGAAGGAGAGTACAAGCTCCGAGATCTCAGTGACAATGCCGTGGCCCCTGCAGCATCGTTGATCAGGTGGAACTAGAGTTCGAAATCCGAAGGATTTTGGACAGAAGTTACATGGGAAGGTCGAATTGAATCACCGCAGAGAGGAGAATTCGTACACCCGGCTGCTCTCATCGGAGGTTACTCGTGCTTGCTTCTAACAGTACCAGGCTAATGCTGGAGCACGAATGTCGAATCTTAACCAAAGGGCCAGGAACTGCATACGATATTTCCTTCCTCGTGGTTTATCCGTTCCCTTTACACATACATTCATATTTCCATATTCTACCCTACAGCACATTTCGAGAAATCAGTGAGAACCTCTGATTTTGTCCTGATAAGAACAGTGGAGAGATGTCACGAGATATACATTTTCCACAAACCGACGAATAGATTGGGATAGGATCTCACGGTCCAGTGTGGTAGGAACACCATCTCATTCCGAGGTAGAGTAGATATACCGTGTACTACACATACGCGATAAATAACCTTAGTACTTAACGAGTTCAGGAACAATAAATACTCACTCACGATGAAGCGTAAATCGATCACTATGTTGTTTGAAGTTCTAACATTTATTAATTTATAACCTTCCAGTGAATTCAAAACAACCTGTAATGTTTGCATTTAACCATGTTATTTGACTTAATTCCTTCGGAGAAATGTCAGGTATTTTTCATACGATCGTAGAGAACTGACGCACTTACTTGTTTGTCTACTAACGCTGTGAATGTTGTTTTTAGAACGTTGACAGAACGGGGTCTATTGAAATATCAGAATGAAAGTACATGCAATCCATTAAAGAAAAATTATTGTGTAGGGTTATTTCTTTTCTTTTCAAGGCAAGAAGAGCCAAAAATGGGTACTAGCAAAAGAAAATATAATAACAATTTGAAAGATAAGAATAACGATAAGAAAAAATGTAGAAGAATCACACAAAAGAAACACAAAGGACTATATGAAGACAAATTACAAGAGGAAAAATTATAATAAAACAATGAAGAAGAAAACAAATAAGTAGACGAAGACAAAGAAGAAGATAAAAAGAAGACAAAGAAGAAGTCGAAGAAGAAAACGAAGAAGACAAAAAAGAAGTCCACGAAAAAAATAAGAGGAAGAAGAAGAAAAAGAAGAGGAAGAAGACAATGAAGTACGAGAGGAAGATGCAGAAGAAGAATAGGACGAAGAAGACCCACAACAACAACATTAATAAGAAGAAAGAAAGAAACAACATTAATAAAAAGAGTCACAACAACAACAACAACAACAACAAAAAAAAGAACCAACCTTCACCTTCAAGGTGAAGCAAAAGAAGTACCTGCTGCTCCCTACATGCGAGCCTCCTGCATCCTCAGCCGCTTCCCGCGCCCTCCTCGCGGGGTCGCCCACCGAGTGGCCCCATGCGTCGCCACGCGCAGCAGCCCGGGCCGGCGGCAGTGGCGTGGCGAGGAGCGAGGGGCGGGGGGCGGGGCGAGACGCCCCTGAAAGTTGGCGCCTTAATTTCCGCGCGCGGGCGCGTGGGCGTGAGCGAGGGCTCGCGCCGCGGAGGCTTCGGCCGGGGCTTCTCAGGCGAGCGCCGCCGCGGGCCCTCCCGTCGCGCCACGCGCCATCGTGCGGGGCCGCGTCTCCAGCCCGCGACGCGGAGCCTGCGCGGAGGACGCGAGAGGAAATGAAAGGGGATGTCGAGATGGCTGCCCTCCCAGTGGGTTCCTGGAACAGAGAGAAGAGGTTTCCGTGCGTCACCAACGATAGCTTCGACTTGCACAAGATAATACATTGTAATGGTGGAAGAAATCCACTCTTCTTGTTTATCTTCTGTTAGTTTTGGGGTACGTGATGGCATTCATGTTAACATAACAATAAGAAATATAATTGTTAAATACTGTATACACGCGGTTGAAGATGATGTATACCAGAGATTAAAAATTAATTCGTTTAAAACATGATAATTTATTTATCATAAGTATAATTGTCATTATTAAGCTGCGGATAGGCACGAAGACTGTAGAAATCGGTAAGTAAAATAGGTATTCAGAAACGTAAAATATGCATAAAAATGCAAAAAAGACATTTAAAAATATAAAATAGACATTTAAAGGTGTAAAATAGGCAATTACAAACGCACTGTATATTTCTATTCTCCTTTGTATTCTTGTCTAGAATGTGTCTGAAGTAACATAATAGTTACCATCATGAAATGTTACCTTTCAGGATTCTTCTGACAGATGCTCGTAGAAATCCTTTCTTCCATTCTTGCGCAATTCGGACAAAAAAGTCTGAATCGTGTTAGCTACTGTTTGGCTTTTCATTAAACGCAAGCTAATACTCGAATGCTGCAGAGTAAGACCTGTTTTATCACATTAAACTTATACATAGTGAAAATATTGTAAGATTTTTTTAATAAACATGCATAAAGCAAGTGTCGCAACTAGTGGTGTTGCAACATCACATATTTTATCGCATTACCTCTAAAAATATGTTTTAAATTTTACTATTTTCAAAATTCGGAAAGTTAAACGAAAACGAGACCAGGGGAATGGGTGAATTCAGGGAACGGTTTGTAATATTATCTTTTCACGCGTCATCATATCTACTGCTCGTACCTAGCTCTATTATTTAGAAGTGAAACAGGCAGCAATTTAACAATTATATTGCACTCGGTATGAGCGAAATCACTAATGTAATACAGAATAAACGATGTCTGTGAGTACTGCTTTTTCACTCGAATTACCAATATGTGAAAATGTTGATCAGTGTTGCAATACTAGTGAAAATTTCTTGATTTTAATAATTTTAAATCTCCGAAATCAAGGTTTTTAATTACATCCCCCACCCATAACGTTCCTAATAATTAAAGCCTATTGCGAGTAAATTAGTTAAAGTTGTAAATCTTCAATATTATATTGGCTTTGTTTATCCCGTTCATTTGAAATTCAACTGTCCTAATTTCGGCAGAACATGGTCATGTAAGCCATAAAATTGTATCTGAAAAACTTATTTTATGAAGTGTTTTGCAGAATTAAGTCCACTTTCAGACGATGTTTAATTCATGCAAACTAACAACAAATCGTTGCCTCTAAAATATTACCAAACGTTTAAAAATCGCAATATAATTGCATTTATTTTTTGCGTTTTCAGGAATATAATCGAGTTTAATCTTAGGAATCAAATATCAACACATTTATAAGAAGTGGTGTTTTTGTTGAAAAAGCTAAACGTAGACTTATTAAGATAGAATTCCGTAATAAAAATCATTCGACACTCCCAGTTGATGAACTTGAAATGCTTGATAAATGACACACGTACAAAATATGTTTCTTTACTTCTCTAGTTTGGAACTAAACATTCAGAAATTTAAAAGAGAATCTAACAGTTTCATCTAACCTGCAGCTCAATTTCCGTCAGGAAACGCCTCGCCGTAGTCGATGGAAGTAACTCTCCCGATAAAGTTTCTGACATTTAAAGGTGAAACGAACCCTGAACAACTCAAACAGAGTAAGTTACATCCACTAGGAGAGTCTGTAAAGCGAACAAACATCTGGGCGCGGCCGGGCGTCCGGTCAGATTGAGTTGAGAGAACTCGTCGAGTTAAAATGTTAAAGTTACGCTCGCCGGAATATGGGACGAGAGCACGCTACATGCCTCCATAAGCGTGAGACGCAAATCAAAACACGCAAAACAAGGCAAATGGAATTTATATGGCGAATTGATGTTAACTTTGAACGCTTTTAATAAGGTTTTAATGTGCGAATAATTGTTTATAAAGCTCTTAATTATCTTTAAAATCTTAATTATTGGTTTAACGGCTGAATTTAAAAAATTCGAAACACAGTATTTATTGATGAACATTTTTATACCAGTCAGTATATTCACTCCGGCACTTCGTAAACCAGTGGTTTCAGTGTTTTTTCTAATTTATATTCAATTATTCAAATTTAAAACAATACAGGTCTCAAAATAACTGTTCAATACAATACTTTTCAATATGATACTGGAGCAGTTCTCCCATCTATGTAATCTACTAGGTTGCATTTAACTTTCTACTAATAATAAATACTATTTTTAATCTATTAATAGTACTACTATGAAAGTTTCATATACGTTTGAAATACTTACAATAGACACATTCAAAACTATCACCCATTATTATGTTGTTCCTTTTGGTATCTTTTTTATCGTCGTACACATTGACCAAACACTAAGCACCATCACATTTCGATCCATTCATTATACCACTTCCCCGATGACACCATCTAAATGGTTCCCATAGTCCCATGCCAACTTCTCCATGCCTCTCACTCAGAATTACAAAATGATAAATAATCAAGTCTTGTTTCCAAATCAAACACACTGAAAAGCCGGGCTCACGTGATATGACGTGCGGCGTACCAGAGACCGACTGCGGTAATGGAAATGTCCTGGAGGTCAGAAGGGCAGTGACGTAAGCTTTCTCTGGCGGTCGACGGCATCCTGCAGGAAGGGGAGAGCGAATGCCGGGGTCAAGGTCACGCCAGGTGAATAATCCTATCGGATTTATGACGGGGCTTAGCGCTGTTGGCACTGCCTGTGCGTTTGCGTAACGACACGCTCGGCTACTGCCGACACACACACACACACACACACACACACACACACACACACACACACACATACACACACACACATACATACACATACATACATACACATACATACATACACATACATACATACACATACATACATACACATACACACACGCGCACACACACATTGACATGTATACAAGTAAACGGTTCCATACACACAGGGACTCTCTTCACTCATTAAAGGTGACCTTGAAGAGACTGCCACCTAACACGAGAAGGAGGTGGCCTCCTTTACACGCTCCCGTTTCCTGATGAATTACAACACGTAGAGTTTCTTTGAATGAATGACAGGGTGATCGTGAGAGGTAAATGGTTGTTAAATGCTTATAGATAGGATGTAGATTTAGAAGTACTACACTGGGGGATGGGAAACCAACCACATGATAATCACGTGACAATCACAACACCCATCCCTTACATTGGGCCCCAACCAGCAACCATTGGCACCACACGCTGGAGCAGGTTCCTACGCCCAAGAGGACAGGTGTATATATTTTTATGTATGGCGAGTATTAGAAAGGATAATAGAAATGGAATATTTTATGAGAATTGTCTCTTTAATCGTGAATGCTTTCGCAAGTTTAAGTTCTCAGGTTATGCAATTTTCAATTACTTTATTTTAGAGTTGTGTACCAGACAAAAACAAAGTTTTGGATAATACCTAAATCTCCTTCGGACAAAAGTTTTTCAAAAATAAAACAAAGTATTGGAACATTAAACGGTAAAAAACAACTTTGAATCAAAATCTGCAGTGATAAAAAGGAAATTAAGAATATTTTAAAATATATGTACTTTTTCTACTTAACAACTCTTGTATTTCCTTTACGAATTAAAAAACTTAAAGAGAAAATATCTTCGTAGGAAGAATAAAAAGATTGCAAAACTGATCAGGAAGTTGTTTGTTAATGCAGAGAATTAATCCCACAGAAAACAATGGAAAGCGCGAGAAAGAACAAAGGAAATCCGACACGCTTCTTCTGTCTCTCAGTAAGCTGACCGAATCTAAAAAAAATCTTGCGACAGAATAAGCAAAGGCCTTCAGCGGCCATGAAATGCAATAAAGTCACCCCCTTACCAAATATTCCCTTCTTCCGTCCGTTCCCTTTTTCCATCCATTCCTTTCTTTACATTCAGTTCCTTTTTCCGCCCGAATTCTGAAGTTCCAAATCGTTGTTTTTTCGTTCTTCGACCAAAATCCTATAACCAAGTTAAAGTACGTTTTATTTGCAAGTCATTAAAACGCAAATATTAGATAATAAATAACACTGTTTGAAGTATGGATATCAGAACGACAAAACTAAAAGCAGAAATGTATTTTACACGTTTGGACTTATATTAGAGCTTTGTGATTACTGATTAAACATTTCTTATTGCATTTAGAGATTATATGTCGTTCAGTGATATCGAGAACGTTTCTCAAGATATTTTTAATAAAAGAAATGAACTTTGATTATAGTATATTTCAATCCATACTATCATGCTGACTTAATCCACAATTAATTCTGCGTATCGTCGATTACAATTCGTACACTAAATAACAATCCAACAACTATTCTACATTCCATTAGTGCATTCTATTAGTTAAGCACTTTATTTTAGCAATGTATTCGAACTTCAGTAGGCTTTCAGGGATATATTATTTATGCAGAGAAATCCAGAAACAAAGGAGTTTTCTACAAATTACGGTCGTAACCTGACCTTATTTTTTTACAGGAGTATAATCACTATTTACATGTGCTGTGAAAAAAATGAGCTGCCGTCATGCACTTGAAATTACTGAGAAAACTACGAAACTTTCCACTTTTCACACCGCAAGTAGTAGTTCGTACGAGGTATGTTCCAATGAAATGACTAAGTCCTTGCAGCACGGCATTTATTCTGCCTGGCACTTGTTTCGTGACGTTTAGAAACTAAAACACGAAGTTATGCCGAAGTGTGCCGGCGGCATGCAAGTACAGTTAACTTCGCTAACAAGAAACGCAAGGTATAGCAAGTTTAAGAAACGTGCTATACTTCGATTGTTTTGTGTAGTGAGCAGTATACCTCTATCTTCGTAAGGATTCATAACAAGCTTGAAAACGT